CCTCCGACGAAGCAAACCCCCGCGCCCGCCGGAGAGGGCCTGTCCGCCCGCTCGGGGGCACCGCACCGCTGCCGCCCGCACAAAGGAAGCCAAGCGGCTACAGCGCCGTCCCCAACGTTCCACGCCGGGGTCCCAGCGTTCCACCGCCGCTCCCAACGTTCCACCGCGGTCCCCAACGTTCCACCCTCCCTTACCGGGCGGCGGCGGCTCCCAGGCCGGCGGGGCTCGGCTCGGCTCGGCTCCGGCAGCGGCTGGAGGGGCGGGAGCGCGCTCCAGCTTCCCCCGGAGCCGCGATTCAGGCTCTGCCCCCGCACGCCGGGGCTGGGGCTGATTGCCGGAGGCGGGGGACCGGGGGGGGGGGACCGGGGGGGGGGGACCGGGGGGGGGGGACCGGGGGGGGGGGACCGGGGGGGGGGGACCGGGGGGGGGGGACCGGGGGGGGGGGACCGGGGGGGGGGGATCCTCGGAAATGGCAGGGGCTGCGCTCAGCTCCGGCACGGCGGGAGGAGGCAGCGGCTTCCTAGCGGCCGCCGGCCTGAAATGCAGCTCCCCGCGCAGGGAGGCCGCGGGCGGGACGGGCGAGGGGGCAGCGGCACCCCCGGCACGTGCGGCTGGGCCCCCGCTGATCTCCGGGCTCCTAACAGCGCGTCTCCCAGGGATCAGAGAGCGGGGGGGGGGGGTCATTAACACCTCTTCATTGAATGCCGGGGGGAGAAGCCCAGAGAAGGGAAGAAAAGTAATCGGTGATCCCTGTGGTCAGGAGTATCCTGAGCACACCACCTTCCCCCCCCCTTGCTGGCTAGCAGGGGGGGCCAGCATGGAAAGCTAATGGTGTCTAAGAAGGAGACCACTGCCAGCTCCGGTCTTCTTTCTGGGTAGTGCCAGGCAACAGTAGCTTTTGGGCACCCTTTAAAGGTAAGGCGTGAGACTCTGCAGCAAATTTGTTTCAGCAGGTTTCGAGGACTCATTGTCGTAAAGGCTCCTAAAGCACCTTCCAGAGCCAGCGTTGCTGAGCCCCAGCAGCAGGGCCGGTAGACTAGGCACAGGCTGCAAGTGCAGAAAGGGCCCAGTTGTGCTTATTTTACGTTATAATTACCGAGTGAAAAAAAGTAGGAGCCCACGAGTTTGCCTAGGGGCCGCTGAAGGGTTAATCGGGCCCTGCTCAGCAGTGTGTTGACAACAGGGGACCCTCCTTCAGGGGCTGAAAAGGCCCACTGATGTTAAGACCAATGGTTTGCAACCTTTTGGGACACAAGGCCCCGTCCATGACTTTTGTGAACTGAGTGGCACCGCTTCCAAAAATGAGTTGCTGGATTATAGTGCTTACCTCCTTGCAGAGAGGCCCCACAGCCGGGGTAGGAGATGGTCCAGGCAGGGACAAGCCGAAGTCCAAATTTATCTGCTTCTCTCGTCGCACCTCCGGATGCCCAAAGGACCTGGCGGCGCCCTGGCTGAGTTGCTGCTTTCGACTAATGCACCCAATGACCCTCGTGACCTGGATGACAGAAGCAGCTCTGTGTGGCCTGTCGTTACCCTGCAAAGCGGTAGCGGTCCCCAGATCCGTATTCTCATCTCCATAAATTGTCTGGCGGTTCCCAGGTACGTAACGCAGCACCGTGCACTTTGCGCCCTGCTTGCAACCCGCTGCAGATAGATGTTTCTCTCCAAGGGCCAAGCAGGTCCCATTGCAACGCGTTGGCCGGCTAAAGTGAGGTGCGAGAATCCAAAGGGAATTTGTTCCATTGGTTTTCAAGGGCTGGTCCAGCGCCTCTTCCCGACGGCTCCCAACGCGCCTTCCAAAAGGAGCCGGCTCGACTGAGCCCCAGCAGCGCGTTGCTGGTGCGTTAAAGCAGAGGACGGTCACCCTGGCTGAGCGCTTCCTACGAGAGATGGGCTACCACGAAGTATCCCTTCAGCCAGAGTATCTGGAGAGGTTTAACAGCTCGCAGCCGCACCTCTTCACAGTTCGGGGCAGGAAGCGGTCTTTTCGGACACTCAAGGACACGGGTAGCTTAGGTACAATGCAAGCAGACAAGGACATCAGGGCAGTGTTACCCTGGGAACTTGACTCGGGTCCAGGCAGTAGGGAAGAGGTGGACAGGCTGATTTTTTTTTTTTTTTTAATTTTTTTTGGGATGGGTCACACATGGCTTTTCCATAAAAGCAGCTAGTTTTTCTTTTTAAATTAAAACCACGCCAGGGCTATACGACTCTGGCTTGACTCTATATGACTGAATCTTGAATTCGGTAGCCACATGGAGGTACGTGGGCATCCGGTGGGGAGGCTTCTCAGTGATCTCTAACATCACATCTGAGATCGGCTCAGCCTTGGAGCAGATGGCCAAGGACCCTGTTAACAATAACAGTAATTTAGGAGTGAACCTAAAATGTTTTATTCTATCAAAATCAAGATATTTAGATTTGTTTTTCTGAATTATTTAACCCCCCCTTTTCTTTTTAATTTGATTTTTTTTTTTTGTAGTTTTGACAGAAAACTGTCTTTTAAAAAAAGCATTACAACATTTTTATTTAGAAAAGAAAATAATAGATGTTTTTAATTGTTTTTTTTTCTGGATTACTTCGCCCTTTTTTATTTTCGTATTGTTTTTAGTGAAAACAGTCTTTTAAAATGAACATCGAAATGTATTTAGAAAAGACCAAAAAAACCTGTGTTTTGACTTTTCTAAAATGAGCTGCTCTTTCTAAACATTTCAACATGTTCATTTTTATGTTTTCCATTGTTCTATCCCTCCCCAGCCCCATTTTTTGTGGCTGAAACTATGTGCCAAATTGAACCCCAAATTGCAAATAATGTCGGTCTTCCCCAAACATCCTTTATACATTCTTTTCTCCAAAAAAATGCTATAAATTCCCTGTAAGAGCAATGATGCATTATAGATGCAGAGAGAATAAGATACTGGGGACATCTATTTATGCATAATGGCAAACTCCTATTGTTATGGATGGAGGCAGGATCTGGCCCTGAATAATTCAGCTGTGTCCATTAGCACAGCATCTGGCACTGAACCAAGCACTGATGCACCAAAGTGTTTACCTGCCAAGGTTGCTATATGGTGCCTGTCACTAACATGTGAGAGCAACTGTTCACAACTGCTAGTGAAAACGGCTCTCAACCCCAAGTGGAGATGCACTGGAGGGAATCATGGAGGCTCCTGCTGTTACACTTCCACCATCAAGCCTGGTATGACTTCTCTGCATTAATCCTCCTCCTGGAGGCAGGAGAGAGAAGGATTTAAGCAGTGCCGTGGATGTGGCAGGTTAAAGTCACCCGATGCAGAGGGCCTAGCCCAAGGTGTATATGTGTGCCCTGTTTAAATCCTATCTTGGGCGTGTACGTAGGATTTCGACAACACAAAGCACTTAGTCACAGAGGTGGAATTCATCCTGGTGTGCTCTCCCACCCTGATTGAGTGTGAAACTGCAGCCCTGGATAAAAATACATAAGACATTGAGAGCTCAGGGCTAGGCATTCACTAGGAACATCAGTACCAAGGCTCCCTTTGACTTCGACAAAATTACAAATATTTAACTTTGCAAAGTTAAATGCCAACCAACCTGGGCAATGCCTCCCATCTGCTAATGCACTCGCAGTAAGCTGCAGCCTGACCTCTTGTTTTCTGCTCCAGGTTGGTTTCTGAGGGAACTTTCTGCTGGTAATAGAATATTATCACTGTGTGCGTCAGCATCCCTGTTGCATTGGGATTAGGGTCACAGGTGCTAACAACACTGAGCAGCCACAGCATATGGGAGTAGAAGTGTAAAACTCAGAGGAATTCAGTGAGTGGATTTTAATTCAGACAGATCCAGCTAATTAAATCATCACTTGAAGAAGATCACATGTGAAACACAGAATGTGTGTGTTTTTATACACACTTGCCAATGCCTCTAAATTAAGCTAACAGTCCTGCCTCCTCTCTGAACCACAGCATTCCCATAAACGTGCTCTGAAGATTATAGCCATTTTTCTCCTCTAATTAAACCACCTAGATAAACTTATTTTAAATTAACCAGTTAAATGTGGGGCCTACATTGGCAAGAGTGATTACTCATTTTGGGAGCCCACATTGAACTATCTTACAGGCATCTGATTTTCAGAGTCCTGTCACTTCAGATGCCCAAAAAACTGAAGGATCACAAATCACTGGTAAGATCAAAAAAAAAACAACTTTAGGCAAAAGATTGGCCTTAACTCTACATTGACTGGGAGCTGACACATCAGGACAGCTTGGTGCTGTTGCTTAAATGCTTATTTTGTATTTAGTGTTAAGGGTCTTTTTTCTTTTTAATAGGGTGTATGGAATATCCAGAAGGAGCTATAATCTGTCAGCATCGTTCTAGCTCCTTGGATAAAAGATGCATTTACATTTAACGATTCCCAGATTCGACATGGCCCTACAACTGCTTTGTGCTATACCACCACTGCAAAGTGTTCCTGAACCTGACTTAGACTCATCCCAGAGCAGGGGGATGCTTTGGTGGCAGAGGTCAGTGAACCAGTTCATAGACCGTGCCTCTTTTTTAAAAAATGTTTTTCTTTCCTGCTGCTGATCATCTGCTGATCATCTGCTGCCTTAAAGCAAATGGCACAAGCTAGAGTAGTTTTCAGGATGCTCTATCTCCTTGTTCCCTACTAAAACATTTTAAAAGCATGTCCCTTAGTTGCGTTCTTCTTAGTTCCTCAGCCAAAGATATGAGCTTAGATTTCTAAAAATAAGGTCAGTTAGCAAATGCAGCAATAGCATTGCTTGGCACTTTCTCAGTGCCTCCATCTGAGGCGCTCAAAGAACTTCGTAAAGCTTACAGCAACCTGCCGGTTTTGCTTCAACCAGTTACCAAATGTCCGGTGACTTTAGCAGGATGAGACTGTGGCCCATTAGGGAACAAAGCCTTGCACCAACCCCTCAGCAATTCACTTCCATATACTTTAGAGAGAGACAAACTGAGCCAGAGAGTCAGAGCCCAATCCTGCTGCTGTACAGCTGGGCCAGGGCTTTCACTGAGCTTCCTCTGTATTGAATAACCAAGCACATTTTCCTTTTTTGATTAAGACCTGGAGTTGACAATCAAATTAAACACAACTGCAGGAAAAAAAAGGGGGGGTTGTATTAGAAACAACTGGGCTTATTAGGTGAGAAAACATTAGCAGAGCCTCATACTTTTAAACAGGAAAATTGGTTTCAACTGTAAAATTAGCTGCTCTTGGTTACCACTGTGCCACCCCTCTGAATCTGGGATAGGATGAGCCAAGTAGAAACAAAAAGCACAAGCATTACATAGCATTAATAACTTCACGCCTGCCCTGGGCTCCCTCTTTGATTTTTGCTCCAGCAGTCAGGCAGGAAAGAGAAAGATGTATTTTTATTTGCATCAGAAGCTATGAGGAAGGGGACTGAAACACCTCATTAAACCTTTACAAGTTCTTTTTTTTAAATAATATTTCCAGGAACTAGATCATTTTAAGTCCTCTTTTTTTCTCAAATGGGCAAGCTGAGTCACCAAGAAAGAGACTTTTTAGGAGAGCTTGTCACTGAGAGTAGGTAGAAATCTGAAGAGCTCATTTCCCAAATAGGGCAGATTTGTTGGAGTTCAGCAGAGGGCATGCTGAATACTTTTGAAAATCTGGCCATTTTTGTAGGTGTTCAGATAGAAACAGCTTTGGAAATCTCAGCTGTGGGCATTCAGCACCTGATGATCGGGACCTGAATTCTTTTGAAAATCTGGTTTTGAGCAACTTCTAAAATCATAGAGCATGTTTGCAGCAAGGCGTAGGACAGAACAGAGGGTTTATATTATTTAGCAGCAATAATTTGCTTGGTGAAGTGTAATCAGAAAAAGCCCTTTACCCAGGAAGGATTCTAATCACAAGACAAGTCCTCTTTGCTGTTATCTTGATTGTTATGGCTAAAATAAGTTGTTTGTTTTTTAAAACAATAATAAAACTGAGAGAAAAAAGGCCTATCATGTGTCTCTTTCCTTCCACTCCCAGGAAATATATTTACTGAAAAAGACAAATCAAATCTCTTTAAAAAGCACGCTTGATGGATTATTGACCAGAGGTGATTTGATTTTTACTGGTGAATAGCAAAATGCTCCAAAAAAAGAGCAAAGGTTCCAACAGCTGTATTTTGTCAGGCTGATCAGGCATAAAAGTATCCCGTGTCTAACTTATTTCCTCTGTCACAGTGTGTTTTATGACCTCAGACTTCCAAACAAGCAAATGGCCATTAAAATATTTATCTATCTTCATTGTTTCTTGGGCTCTTACTGCTTCCATTCATTATTCATCATCATTGTCATCTCTACAGCAACAGTTCCCTGAGGCCTCAATAAGCATCCGATCTTCATTGTGTTAGGTGCTTACCTACGCACACAGGAAGCCAAGATTTCTGTCCTTGCTTGCACATCTGAATAGCTAACAGTCCAAGACTCGGCTTCTGCAAACACTGGAGCACCCAGGAGTTACTTACAGGAGTTCTCTCTGCGGGTTTACTGGGGCTCCTCCTCTGGATCCAGTTTGTGTATGCTTGTAGAATTTGTTCCTACAGCTTTAATGTCCCTAACAAAGTACATTACCGTCTAAGCAGGTTAGAACCAGATTCCCCTTTCTACTTTTACCGATCACGGTTTTTGTAGTGCCCCAGCTGGGCAGATGAGCCATATAACCTGGTAGCCTCTTATTTTGATATAAAGGATTTTTCACAATGCAGACTTAAGTTTCGATTCCTCAGAGAAGCACTCATTCCATGGACAAGAACAATGCTGAGGACTGCTTGGTTTTGGGGGAGTGGTTAGCCTTTCATGAAGGCTCATGAAAATCCCACCCTTTCTTGCCTCCAACATCATTGGTTGTTGGCAGAAGTGTAGGTATTTAGGGCCGGATCTAAATCTCACTGAAGTCAATACAAGTCCTTCCACTGACAACCCTGTTGATCTTTCTTTCAAGAAAGAAATTTGATGGGAGAAATTCTTTGGCACCAACTCAAAAGTTCTGGGTGGCATTCTGGAGACCCGCTTGGGACATCCAAGACTAAAGTAGGATGCTCTACTGCTTGTGGTGTCTGGCAGGGAAAATCTCCATGAGCAAATCGCTCTAAAGTTACAACCAACAGCACTGGCCTTTAGGAGAAATTGCATGCACCTTCTCCAAGTATTTAGTTTTGATCACTGTGTCACAGTATCTATGGCAACTTCTCACTGGCATTAGCTCAAATGTTTTACACAACTGAAGAAGAATGAAAAACAGGATATTTAATGTGAATGAGCAGAACAATTACCAGGGTACATACATACACACACACACACACACACACTCCTATTAAGTCAGACAGAAGAAATTCCATTTCTGCTAAGGCAAGTCCATACATATTATAAAACACTTGTTTTAAAAAATAAAATAAGATGTGCGCCTGTCCCATTGCCTCAGGAAGAAGTGTCAGGCAACATCACCCTCACATGCAGACACAGTGAGAAGTGTCACAGGGAACCAAAGGATGGTGCGAGGACCAGGAACATAAGTTTCCACCAAGGACTGGATGTTTGCACTCATAGCAAGAATATCTAGAATTGATATGTGAACAATGTGAAATTTTGGCTCCAGAGATACCAGCAAAGGCCAGATTTCACCCAAAGTGTCTTGAAAGTATAAATGCCTCGTATTTCAAGGTTTAAGTCAATCTCTAACCATTAGGGTTTAAAATGGGAACTTCATCAGGAGCCCACATCTGCTTACTGCTATATTATTGGACCTTCCCGAGGCACCTGGTGTTGCCAGAGGCAAGATGCTGGATCAAATCCAGCACAATTTCCATCTAGTCTAACTATCACCTGGGAAAAGGCGATTTCAGCAACTGGTGCTATTTCAGTACTCTGTAAATCATCCACCCATCTGTTTTACCACAGCACATCACCCCTTTGCAGTGCCCGGCCCTGTTACCTTTCTGAGTACCGGTTGAGCTCATTTGGTTAAAAGATAGCAGGCACCATATAAAGCCTGATCAGTCAACTTCAGCTTGTCAAAAGCAGCTTGATGTATTTTGCATGAAGGTAATTAACATGTCTTCACAGGGACAGTCAAGGAGCAAACCTGCAAACGATTGGTATACAGAAAAATTCAAGCATTTCCCCAAGAACACAACTGATTGGAGATTAGCTAATGCAGCCTATTAGATGCAGATCAGGTACATCACTTTTTGTTTTAATGCTTTGGCTTGAAACAGGTCTTTTCATGCTTCTCGCACTTAATGCTAGGAGCACTATGTTTGAGAAACGTTCATTTCTCCATCACAATGAGGAATCTCCTTGCAAGTGTTTTAATGGGTGTGTTCCTGTCAACAGAAACGTGACTATTGGGGCACACAAGCTGAGTGAAGGATTCACTGTTAATATTGCATTAATTGACAACGTACAATGAAGTCTCACACCTGTTTATTATAAGTAATTCATAGATAACCACTTCTAGTACACATTTCCATATTGGTTTTAAGCTCAGTGACACCCAAACTTCACCTAATTGCGGGTCTTGTTAGCAGTTTGCCAGGAGCCAGAAGGCTGTACCTACTTTGTGAAAATGATGAAAGTTGAAATCACTTTCATCCATAATAGAGATGTAAGGCTTGAAGACTATATATCCCAGCATGCAACACCCCATCATGCTTGGGCCACTACACTAAAGGGGAGAGAGTGATGGATTTTGCTGGGCTGCATTTGATTCACATGCCTCATTTTGGCCACATCAATCTAGCTCATGCAGCTGTCTGCACGCAATGCTCTACAGTGAGAAAAACAAAGGTTTTTGTACTGTTGGAATAAAAGCAGTGGTAACAAAGTCATAGCTACATATTCTTCTCTACATTTTTGTTTATTGAGACAAACTAATTAAAAGGCACAAACATAGGGCATATGTTTACATGGACATTATAACAAACATATACATTAAAAGTGTAGGAATGTGTTTCCTTTCTGCTAAACAGAAAGTTCCTAAGCTTTTATATATACAAAAGTTGTACAATTTGATGTCCTAAAGTACAAAAGATCATTTATAAAATTATTTTACACTAAAGTTCTATTTTTTGTTTTTTGTTTTACTATGTAGTCCAAGCCCCTAGAACTGTTTCACATAATGATACAGATACCTGTCACCTGACCTAGAAGTCTGGTATTTGCTGCTTGTACTGACACGGTGGGGTAGAAATGGAAGCAGTCCATTTTGACTAGTCAGTCCTGCTAGCATTCTGTAAAATGCACGCACACTAATCTCCATTGCTTTCAACTTCATTGAGAGAAAAACACTGCAACTTTAGTTGCGTTTTTTCCTCCCCCCCCTCCCCCCAATGTAAAGTCTTGGTTTCAGGGGGTTCTTTTTAAACAAAGTTTTAAAAATGTGAATATGTGACATGATAGTCTAAAAAGTATATCTGTTTCCCTAGACTCTGCTTTCTACTTTATGTACAGATAAACAGGTTAAGAAATAAAAAGCACATGTAGTTTAAACATGTGTGATCATTTGTGGTGCAGTTCTGGGCTGGACAGCTCAGACTGCCACCCCCAAAACCCACACAAATTGATAGAAATGTGTTAACACAATAGAATAGTAACATAAAAATGATGATGTTTGCAAATATTTACAAAGTTGAACAGATTTGCACAACACTTGATTAAGAAATAGGGGGGAAATTAAAAGACGCTCTCGGCTTGTCCTGAAGGGGCATCCTACCTAGTTAGTGGTTAGAATAAAAACTGTATACAATTTAATATAAGACAAAACTTCTAGTGAACAACTAACACATCTGTCCCCTGCTGCATCATCAGCAGGTTCTGATTGGGAGAGAGAGGGCATATACATCATACCCCAGCGCCTCCAGAATCTTCCAGCTTAAAGCAATATTTCATAAGTTCAAAGCACTCCTTTTGCTCCTAAATAAGAGTCCCATAGGGTTCTGACTTTTCAGAGACCATGTTTACATACATTTCAACTCCTCTTCTGTCAGCCATGGCTGTTTCTCACTAAACATTAAGTTTTATTTATTTATTTTTTTAATGTTGACTACAATGCTATATTCCCTTAGGGTAATATGTTGGGTAATATTTACATCTCCAAATATCAGGTCACAATCCCTATTATATGTTGAAGTGAGAATGATAAGTTATCATATGCTTTGCATATCAGAGCTGGTATCACCTTTCCCATAGGGAATGCTGCCTGAAATTATCATATTCCCAAAGGTAAAATGCATATTTTCTTCCAAATGCATTTTTTAAAAAAAATGACAACATTATAATGCATTTACTCATTAAAAAAAAAAATTAACACAGACGAAAATACTACACTAGCTCTGAAACAGTGGATTTAGAACTGGCAAGTTAAAATTAGCTATCCACCCTGTCAAGGACATGAAGGAGGGTCTTTGCTAGTGTTTAGATTAAAATTATTTTCTAAGTTATCATTTCTGGGGTAAAACAGTAATGCTGATTCTTAAAGACTGCTTTGTAACTGGCAAGTAACCATCTGTCCTAGGTTCAGCATCACTGTCAGCTAAAGGTAAAACTTGGCTTTTAACGAAGTGCTCCAGTGATCAGTTACAAACTCAGATTCAAACAATATGAGCCAAATCAACAGGGAAAGATGCTATTATGGTCTCTGACTGGTGCATACTGCCCCAGTTACTCAGCTTGACTTTATTATTACATCATTATTATTATTCATTATTATTATTATTATTATTAACAACTAAAAAAAACTGCTGGTAAGGATTCAGTTGTAATCCTCTTTAATACTGTTTAGAAATTCTTTACCAGGGAGGAGACGTGGGCAAGGCTTGGGGCAGGAAAGGCATGCTCTCTACTGGTCTCATTGCTATATTTAATGGACCAGCTAACGTCATTGGTGTTGGGAGGTTCATAGGAGATGTGATAGTGACTGGATGCGCTATATTCACCGGAGCAGTTACTGGGGTAGGTAAATTGACTGGTGTTGTGAGCGTTAATGGCGATGTCATGGATAATGGACTTGTTATAGTTACAGGATGCCCTAGATTCATCGGACTGGATATATTAACTGCACTTGATACATTTACTGGACTTCTCATGCTCATTGCAGCTGCCACTGTGACTGGGTTTGTGATAGTCCCAGAAGCCACAGAGGACGTTATACTGAATGGAGTAGTAAGAGTCACAGGCGTAGTAGCAGCAGTGGAGGTTTGGCACAAGTTAGCAGCTTCTAAAAATGAGACATAAAAAGACAGAAAGTTTTTAACACATAAAAAACCATGGACAAGATTTAAAATAATAACAATCATAATCATAATAAAAATAAAACCAAACAAACAACAACAAATTCTGGAATAATTTTCTTTAGAATATATTAGTAAGTTAAACTGTTAACATTCTACAGCCTACAATAAATATAACTTTCATGCAGCTCATTTGAATTCAAAATTCTTTCCTGGGAAGTCAAGCGAGGTTGTCTTATAAAGAGGGTTTTGATGTTCACAAAAACAGTATCGTACAATCAGAAAAATCCTCTCAAGAGGAACATTATAAGTAGAGGAGAGAGTGTACATACCGAATGGTACGTACTCTATAGCCTTCTCAAAGGTGAACTGACATTCTGTGAAGGTTTTAAAAAGTCATTATTAGGGACTGATAAGCAAAGCTGGTTTCAATATTTATCTGCTTATTTCAGTCTTAAATTATTTCTGCTAAATTGTTCCACTGCTCATGGTAAATTTATCCTAGCATTTTTCAAGAACACCCAGCCAGCAGATCTTATAACCCCCATTATCTCCTCAGCATTTACATTAGCTACAATTCCACACCAATATTTTACTCTGTTTTGCAATAAGCAGTGACTAGTGCCAAACAGGCAAGAACCAAGAGGACCCTGCACTGAGATGGAAGCTCCTGGGTCTGTTCCCAGTTGGGTCTAGCAGGGGCCGGACACTTTGTGAAGATGATACAGCCAGGCTCCAGAGAAGAGGCAGATGACTCCACTAGATATCAGCACCACCTGCTGGTTAGCCATAGAACAAAGATCCAAAAACAGAAGCAGGCTGGGGGGGTGTGGATAAAAGAAAGGGATGACTGCTAAACAAACCGACAAAAATATATTCTGTATCAACGTTACGGCATTTCCAAAAAACATGTCTTGTTCCCCATTTGTAGGGTAGACACCAAGCTCAGTCTACATCTGTATTTCAAGAAGTAAACTAAGAGCCAAAAAATCCACCCTTGCCATAAAGCTCTACAAACGTATTAAGACAATGATTTCTTTGACAGCAACATTAGCCCCATTCAAGGGTCCCTGTTGGCTGTTCAAGTCAATATTAATGTATGGGGGAAAATGGGGACTTAAAGAAAAAATAAAAATCACAAAATTAAAAATACAGTTTGAAAGAAAAAAATGATTTCCACACTGTTGTCAAAGCAACCTGGAAGGTGGCACTAGTTTATGAGAACTGGTGTGAAAAATATTATCAATAAAAGTGAAACTGACTGGTCTAGGTTAATCTCCCCAACCCAAAATACACAAAGGGGAAAATACACATCCTCCCATCCTTTCCCAAAATAAACAAAGTGGTCCTTGGACATGACAACTTCATTAAACCAGCATTACTAGCTTGAGACTTATGAAGCTTGGCACAATGTGTCATCCCCTCCTCCCCCCCGCCCCACTACTTCCTTTTAGTGTCATTATCTTTTTTTTGGTAACAAACACATTGCATAATATCGCTGTAAGAAAGCAGGAAAGTAGAAACAAGGCACAGAAAAGAACAGGCAGAACAAGCCTCATTTGGGTTTTTCTATACCTCCCACTTCATTTGCTTGCTCCTAACATTACCGTCTTATCATTAAATTGAATAAACTTACTAGTAGGAGTCAGAGAGATGAGAACTATAAAGAGCAGAAAGATAGAGTATGAAGGAATTGTGGTGAGGCTGAGGGGAAAGGTGAGTGCAGAATATTTCTGTTTCAAAATGAGAGTTAATGAAAAGCCCCAAGGGGATACGAGGAATTTGGCATAAAACATTTAATCCAAGGAAGCCATGTGATAGGTATTAGAAACCAAACTTGTGAAAAGAATACATTAACAGTAACAGGAGATTTCAAACCACTATACTGCAAATAAGGCACTGCATGGAAGCAATCTATTCCTCACACAAGTCACAGTGATCAACAAAAGGAAGCTATTCAACTTTGATTTCAGTAGGCTAGGGGCAGATGAGTTGTGCCTTGGCAACAGCAAATATGTTCTGTTTAATTTGGTAATGAAAATGAATGAATGATACCAAGCAGCAAAATATAAATAAATAAATAAATCTATGAATTTTGGCAGACTTTGGACAAATACAGTTTAGCCAGGGATTAAAATGAATGGGAGAAAGTGGGAGAAAAAGGACAGAGGAGCTATGAAAAGTGTTTTAATGCAAAATGATGTCCATGAAGAGATTCTGTATGTGCATGTGCTAAAGAAGGGCAGAAATCAAAAAGCCTCTGCCCTTGAGCACACCTAACAAAGCTTCCTCATGAAAAGCCTGTAGTCACCTTAGGCCCGGCTAAGTTACACCAGTACAAGTGTCAGATATCTGTAGTTAGAATCAGTTTCAATG